CCCAGGACAGGGTTGGATGGAGAATGCTGGTGAGCGGCCTATGCTCCTTCACGAGGAGTAACAGGCATAAGTAAGTAAGTAAGTTACATTCATCAGTAACAGTGCATTTGAAACTTTAAAGAGGGTTGTTTTTCACTGTGGGAATTATTAATGAATTTATTTGCTTGTATACTAGGTTGTTGAAACCAGTTACTTGAAAATATTTTAAAAAAACACAATGATTATTCTCATTTTGTATTATTTGTTTGAATTTTCCCATTGATGCAGGTGCATTCAGTTGATGAGTTCCCAATAGGACGAAATGCACATTATGGATTTCATTGTTAGTCATTATTCATTTTTATTGAATATAAACTGTTTGCCAGGAGAATTCAGTTGGCAAATATTCAAAAGAACCTATTATCCATTATAAATGTACCTCAGATAATACTCATATGCTAATTATTAATCATAAATCATATGTGAGAAGTTCAGGTCAATTAGTTGGTAATAGTGATGCTGAATATTTGATGGACGTGAGACAAAATGAAATATGAAATTATTAAGGTCAGAGTGAAATTTCTAGTCAGTTTCTGAGAGTAAATAAAAATAACTATTCATAAAACTGTACTATTATTTCTTATTGTTTAAAGAAATGATAGATCATTAAACAGAACTCTTATATGATCGTGGATAATCATTATTGAATCGTTTTATAGTAGGACAAAACAGTACTTCTTTATTCCCCCCTAGTACCATTTATGAAAATTATACGGTTTCAATATTTATAAGTGTAAACGTTATGAGGTTCTATTGTTCCATGTTTGAATAAGTTTTTTTCTGGTTAGACATCATCCAGAAGATACAAGTGTTTATTAACAGTTGTCTATGCAAAATACATTGGATCTATTGGCCAGATACTATCAGTAACAACCTATCAGATCCAAGCTGAGTAAGAAATCAGGATGAAGTACTGGAAGTGGGTAGCACACACATTAAGGAAAGCACTCAACTATGTCACAAGACAATCAGTCAATTGGACAAAGAAGGGGGAGAGGACGATCAAAGAACACATTACTCCGAGAATTGGAGATATATATGAGAAGAATGAAAAAAAATTGGATAGAACTGGAAAGGCAAGCCCAGAACAGAGTGGTTTATAGAATGCTGGTCAGCAGCTTATGCTCCATTGGGAGTAACAGGCGTTAGTAAGTAAGTAATTGTTCCATGTTATGTGAACTTTGCATTATTTTTATGTGTTAAAAAATAACTTTACAACCCTCACATCAAGACAAACTAGAAGGAAATGAAATGTTTGGGGCGACATAATGGTGATAAAGCACTAGGAAAACAAGTGTTTATAGGAAAAATGAAAATGTAATTATTATCTCTTGTATATAGATATATGTATATACGAATGGGATGATGTTTTTTCCACCTTGGACATTGAAACGACTAAAACTATATACAATACTACAGCTATATAATGATATTTTCTAGTTATTCTTTTTCCTTCTGATTCATCAATGAAAGAGTAAACATTGTAAGTTGAATTCGAATATGTATATGGTGTTTTTCGTTGTTGTTGGGAAAATGAATGATATTTTAGAAAATAAGAAAAGAATAATGCACTTCCAATAGATAGAACAGAATGACCAAAAACACCAGGCAAAAAATACATACAGTTACATATATGTTAATACATGTATCCATGTAAACATTTGTGATTGTCTTTTTCGTCATCATGGAGTCATACAAATTTTAATATAACGATTTAGTAAATATTGTACTACTGAAAATATGTAAGTAGGTATGCAAAAAAATAAACAAACATGGAGATATGCTTAGAAAAAAATACTACAAGTATATTAGTAAAGAATAATATTTTCCCATTGTTAATTCTATGAGCTCCATTTAATTAGTCTCCAATGATTCACTATTGCCAATTGATGCTAGACTATTAGTAAACAAAAGATGAATAAAGGTGCATAGTTGGATTTCAAACATTCATTTTATTTTCTATGAGGTTAGTTATTTGAATGTTACTGTATCTAATTGGTGATGTTCATACCGAGATTCAAACCCAGTTCCTTTCAATTTAAACGTCACAGAGATATATAGAATCCAAAGAGCTACTAACCGGTGTGACGAATATGAATTTTATTTATAAAGATTTGTAAGCTACAACACGTTGACGTATGAAGTGAAAGGTACTAAGTTCTTATTTTTCATGATGAATATCAACATTAGGATCCAATTATATCATGTTGATTAGTTTGAAATAAAATCAAGTGTTTATTTTGGATTCATCAAACAACTTAAATAACACAAATACTAACTGAATTATTTTCATCATGGGTACTAAAATGTCTGATTGAATCATAATTTATATGACAGTCATAAATTGTATTGATACATTAAAGTATCATTAGTTATGAAGGTTACTTTTTTTCTATTTCGCCAGTGTTAAGGTTGTTTCTCTTTTAGATTGTATTCTTCTAATGTGATAAAATAATCATTAAATGATAACCTAAACTATGAAATCAAAAGCAATAACACGGTAAACATAATAAAAGTTAAATAAATGAAAGGGGATTGTATCTGTAACAGTTTGGTATTTACTCTCTGTAAATATAAAACACTAGAAATGATCAATTTCAACTGGTATATATAGATTATGAGTTAGTTCTCTTTTGATATTAACATTTGAATCACAAATTTTTATTACAGTTAGATGTCAGCTAGCAGTATATAAAATGTTATTTTTACCAGTTCCAGACAATATGAAATGCTTATCCTAAGCTTTCACTGACGATTATTAACCAACTTTATTGATCACACGAATTAGTTCAAACTTATTTATTTTAAAAAAATGTGCAACTTCTTTTGTAGAACAGAATCAAAGTGTATTGGGTCGGCTTCCGGAGAATTTCAATGGAGATTCCAGAGGCCCAAAAGGAGCTGAAGAGTCCTAGCCAATCAGAGTATGATGGAACGTTCTAGAATTCCAACGTGGCGTGCTACTATTGGTCGGTAGCATAATATGTCGTTATCGGATTGGCTGTAAAATGATGTTGATTTAACAGACGCCAACATCTATAAATACCCATGATTTTCTGTACAAAAATGAACCTTGGGATAAAGTATTTTCTCTCATACTTGTGTCTTCTCTCTGGTGTTCAAGTTCTAGACTGCAGGTTACCGGAATAGCTTAGGAACAAGTATGAAATTGTCTCACAACTTTATCAGCCTTATTTCTTCAACCATTCAAGAATTAACTTAAAACTAATCAGATTATACAAGCAGAAATCATTATATAAACATATAAATTATTCAATATACAAGGATCGAAACCATTCACACAAAGATTATCCATGTAATGCTCATGCATAATACTGAATAATTTTAATATTTACATTGAAAATATCACTTATAATTACGTGATTCTAGTTTAATTTATGTTGTCCATAAGTAAACCTTAAAGATTTAAATCATTTACTTTCATATTATCGACTATACATTTAATTCTATCTTGAAACCAAGGTTTTATCATTCCGATCAAAACACTAAAAGTTTTGTATTTGCCACAAATACATATTTCATCTCTCTTCAATGTAATATGTAATTCATGGGTATTTAAAAAAAACCCAATTTCAATTAAAATTGATATTATCAGGATTGGATTGGTTGAAGTTAGACATTAACCTCGTTGGATGCTGAATCAGTGATCTAGAGATTAAGCATTTGCGCATGAGACCGATAGGTCCTGGTTTCGGATGACGTGATCAGGATCTTGGGTGCGCAATGCTGAAGAGCCCCATACTAGGACGAAAGTGACGTCCAGTACTTCTAGGTTTTCTATGGTGATCTAGCTTTAATTGATTTATGAATTCAACTATTTTGCTTTCTGTTCGGCAAACAGTGTATTCATTGAGTTATTTGTAGAAATGTAAATTATTATATGTTTACGCAATATAACATGAATAATTGAGACAAATATTAATTTTCGGTAAAAAAAAATTTGCTCTGAAGAAGTGGCTTCAATTAAGTCGCAAAACGTCAGAAATACAACTTGTTTCTACCCATTGAGATATAACAAAAAGTATATTTATTATTGAATTTACTTATAGTTTGATGTGATTTTTAAAAGACTGTTACATAATTGTTAATTTTCATTAACCTATAATTGTGTGATTGAATAAAATATGACAAAACAGTAATTTATGTAAGTAAAAGTCATGAGGTTCTTTTGTTCCATGTTCGAATAACTTTTTTCTGGTTAGCCATCATCCAGAAGATACAAGTGTTTATTAACAGTTGTCTATGCAAAATACATCGTATCAGTTAGTCAGACACTAACAGCAATAACCTATCAGATCCCAGCAGAGAAAGAAATCAACTTATTATTCTTTCACAAGGTGGCCTGTTTGATTATCTCAGTTATCTGTTTCTGTCATCTGCATATTTTAACAAGTCATCTGTTTTCTTGTTTGTTTTAACACATCATTATGTCTATTAGTCACATAACCTATTCAGATGAGTTTGTGAAAAGTTTAAGACATTTTTCTGTACAAGTTACAAAAGAGCTCAATCAGTGACATCGTGTTTATTGACAATATATATATATATATATAGACAAGAATGTACATTATGTCGATTCCTGGATCGTTAACAACTAACTAGCAACCATTCAATATTTATTGTCAAGATCGATCATGAAATAAGAAAATGAAACTTTGTACTGAATATTCTATATTGAATAAAGCCACTAATAATAATAATAATAATAATAATAATAATAATAATAATAATAATAATAATAATAAAACCTTTTATGATAAATGAGGTTATTTGATCATTATTATTATTATTATTATATGAATTGTATTAGCTTAGTGTTCTGTATAGAATAAATCCCTAATAATAATTACATTAAAAAAAAACAAAAAACTTATTTCCATGGTAACAAACATAAGAATAATAACTAAATTATCAACTAAATAAAACAGTTATTAACTTACTAAATTAATTCAACTTGTTTGTAAATCTTTAATGATCCTGTGACTAAAGCTTCTGGTTAATGTCACTAATAATAATGATCATAATCATATTCTTATTATTATAGCACAAAATTATTAACCAATTTGCGTAGGCTACATTGTAATGTAAAATATACAAGTGATTGGTTAAAAGCAAACAATCGATTAGTGAATAGACAAATCGTATAACAATCATACAATCAATCTATAAATGAATAAAGGGAATAATTGTGTTAGTTTGTTTCATAAGAGTTTATTATTTGGATGATATAAATAAATTTATATACTACTGAAAATCTCTCTAATAGATGGTGGTTGGAGGTAGTCGATAGGAAACCCTGGACCCGGGTTTCGTGCTACTCCCGCAAGATTACAGGTAAAACTTGCTGACGAGTGCCAAGTGTTGATTCACCTAGACTAGTGGCCACATTGCAACATGGTCGATGGCATTTGATCTGCACTAAATAAGGACTTGACATGTATGACATTGATCACCACCCAGTGATCAGTCAATTGTGTTTTATAAGGTGTTAATCATTTATAGATTTGAACTCTAATTGTAAAGCTAAATGATATGAGATTGAATTCATCTGATAGTATTAATTCCCTAAAGATCAAATGTACATCTTTGATAAAATGTGCCAAATAACATGAAACTTATGTTCAGGGTTTTCTGTCGATTATCTCCAACCATTATCTTGTATTTTAACGTAATGTACTCGATATCAAGTCATTTAGACTAGTGACCACATTTCAAATTTATCGATCGAATATGATTGCACTAAGCAGGACAAGACATTGGTTACTATCCAGTGATCAATCGATTGTAAAAGAACTGACTTATGCATAGAATAAACGTAAATGTGTAACTGATACAAGAAATTAAATTTTTTTGTCAGAATGTAGGTATAAATAAGCAAAACATTATTTACTTGAATAAATGAATAAATATACTTTTTTGCGATTGAAATCATGTTAGACCACCATGGAAAACCTGGAAGCACTGGACGACTGTTTTGTCCTATTATGGGACACCGCTCGCGGGGTTCGAACCCAGGACCCTCAGTCTCTCGCGCGAACGCTTAACCTAATGGACCACTGAGCCAGTATTTAGTGGTATTAATGTCTAACCTCAACCAATCCACTACTGATAATTAAATATACCTTAGAATGAATTCACTTGGTGTTGTTTACTTGAATCCCAGATAAGACAAAAAGCGCGTCCTGAATTCCATTGCTAGCCAATATCTATCTTTATTTATACCCTAGAATGTTTCCGTATTAATCAATCTTTTTGTCATTTTTGAATAAATTTCATACCATTTAGTTAGAACAGAATCTTAGTTACTATAGAGAAAAAAAGTATACTTCCATTAAAAAGAAAAATATTGTTATTTATAAGGAGAATTGTAGATATTTGAAAATGGTGAATCTAAAATCTAAATGTTTCATAACACCTTGATTATCACAATCTTTCTATATTGATCCATAATTTAATAAGAGAATTCTCTACATATAAAGGAAGAAACTAACGTTCTTAAGAATATCAACTACTTGTCTATTATTCTTAATCAGAAAAAGTATTCAGTATAGAACATGATAATTAAATTCTTGGAATCACTGTTCATCTTATATATATATATATATATATGAAGAAATCGATTAAAAGTAGACAATATTTTGATAGATTATGATTTACTCAATATGAATTTTTGTTTTGAACTTACTGGGTATTCTTACCTTGAATCTTTCCATTGATGTTTAAGACTGCAATTGATCAGTCTCTTATTGACATATGTGCATGCTGTACAGATTGCGTCCATATAGCCTTAAGTCATAAGCTGTTTTTAAGCAAACATGGTTAGTGTCTAACAATGGAATTCAGGACACGCGTTTCGTCTCATTTGGGACTCGTCAGCTGAATGTATCTGCATCCCAGAGTTGTTGTTCACTCTGGCACTTGAACACGATGGCGTTTGAAGTGAAAAGTACTGGGTTCAAATTCTGAAGTGAACATCAACTTTGAGATGCAGGTACATTTAACTGACGAGTCCCGAATGGGTCGAAACGCGCGTCCTTGTTCCCCTGTTAGACACTATCCATCTTTGCTTATATTTCTGATTTATTTTTCTCTTTAAAACATTCAAAATATCGACATTTTGAAAAATCAGTTTTTGATTTATTTATCTAAAAATCCATAATACAAGATTAAAGGGCATCGATCAATTGGATGAGAACCACTGAAAAATATGTCACCGTTCAATTTCAGTTTAGTGATTAGGAATTTACTGAAATGTTTATAGCATAGAGTTAACTCCAAAAAAAAACTCAATATTTGAACCATTAATTTTTAATGGTCAAAAATGTGTTATTATTACCCTATTAGTTTCGCTAAAGTCAATTGTGAATGAATGAATGAATATCAACCATGTCAGATGTAAGACAGTTTTCCACTGCAAGCGATGGAAGATCATTATGAATTACACTGAATTTATTCACGTTTGACATGCATACCATTTGCTGCCAGCTTAAAGGTCTAGAGTTTAGATGTTCTCATGCGAGATCAAAAGTCTTTGATTTACTCTACATTGGAATCATGGAGTTAGTACTGCTGCTGAGTCATATACCAGAACGAAACAGATGTCCAATTCTTTCTGATTTTTAATTTTGATCTGGTTAAAGTCATTGTAAAAGGATCAGTTATATGAAGAGTTGTTTACCATGTTTCAATGTTGTTCTCATTATTAATAGTATTTTCTTCAGTAGTAATCTTTAATTTGAATTAAATGTTTTCTGTTCGTTTCACCTATATATCTCATTTTATAAACTTTTCTCATAAGAAATGTTCTTACACCATTATAATCTGAACAATATTATGAAGAACAGTTAGTGATTTGTAAACAGTTAATGGTAACCCGAATCATCTTTTGTTCAGAATCACTTGAAAGTTTGTACGTTTAATATTATACTCTATGAACTAAATTCAATGACTTTTTTTTATTGGATTGTACAAACTGAGATCCTAACATCAAATAGTAAAACACAGTAAACCTGTTCGTGATAAATGGTACATTAGATCACTTAAGATACTGACATTTGTTTCTTAGAACCTTTGAATGGTGATTCAGTTATTAAAGAATACAATTTAAAACGTGATATCACATTACATTACCTTGCTCTATATTAAAATACAATGTATTTCTTGATCAATGGTTAAAACCGATATGTGCTTAAACAATGCTCTTTCAGCTTTATAAGTCGAGTTTTGGAGATGATAAGAGATTACCATCATCTAGTGCAATCCTTAAATCGTACTATGTATTTTATCAATGTTGTCGATTATCAAGTCAGCTGGTGTATTGAAATTGGTATTTATCATAAATGGATCCTCAACCTTTTATACTTAAAAAGCATATACTCATAATTACATTTTGCTTCCATGTATTCAAGCACTGTCTGCTATATGACCAATTAGATCACACAACGTAGTATTTATCAATGTAAAGGTTTGTAGAGATTTTCTAATGTTATAAAAATCTTGAACTAACTTATTTGAGATACTCTTTGAAAACTGCGAAACAGTAAGTAGCCGTTTTTTCCAGTATGAGTCTTCTCAACCCCACAACAAGGGAAAGAACCCACCATCCTCAGTCGTGGGCAAGAACGCCTAAACTGTAAATCACTGTACTTGAGCTATGTCCTCTGCAAGTAACTGCCTCTCACCAAACATGCGAACCGATTGAAGTTAGGCATGTACATTGTTGGATTACAACTCAGTGGTCTAAAGATTAATAGCTCGTGCTCACAACTGGGTGTCGTAGGTACGATCTCTAGTGATGGAGTCGTGAATGTAAATTAGTGAGGAGCTTCAATCTAGGACGAAACCACTGTTCTATGTTCCCTGGTTATCACTGGATATTTAACTTAACTCAGTTCATCGTATCAATAAGGTCAATATTTGTTGACTATTACCCAAAGATCTAGTAGAGAATATGGTTCATTCTAGATTGAATTCAATTTACTTGACACGTAAGCTACAGCTCTAGAATATTTGGTACTTTTAGTGTTTATTTCAAAGAAGTTCAGGATGATTAGTTGATTAGTATAGAGATATTTGAATTATTGAATTACTTACTTACGCCAGTTACTCCCCATGAAGCATAGGCTGCTGACCAGCATTCTCCAAACCACTCTGTCCTGGGACTTCCTTTCCAGTTCTATCCAATTATATTCCATTCTTCTCATGTCTGTCTCCATTTCTCATCGTAATATGTTCTTTGGTCTTCCTCTTCTCCTCATTTGTCCTTGAGGATTCCAATCGAGTGTTTGCCCTGTGACGTAGTTGAGTACTTTCCTCAATGTGTGTCCTATCCACTTCCAACATCTTTTCCTAATTTCCTCATCAGATGGCAGTTGGTTTGTTCTCTTACACAATAGGCTGTTGTTAATAATGTCTGGCTAACAGATCTGATGTATTTTGCATAGACAGCTGTTCATAAAAAAAACTTGTATTTTCTGAATGATAACATTCATGATTTTCCAAGTTTCTGTCCCACAATTGAATTAATTATTAATCAGAAATCAACTGTATATTTCGAATAGATTAAAAGTACGGGTAATAAGAAGAGATATTACTTAATAAAATAGATTTTATAGATTCATATTTACTGATACCATGTGTAGATATTATAATAATGATGATTTATGATGCCTCTTGTTTCTTCAAAATATTCAAAAGCATAATATTGTTATTCAAAAGAAGTTAAAGTACTATTCAAATGTGTATAACTTGTGTGTATATTCAAGTACAATGAATTGAATAAATATACTTGTTCTATGGTTAGTGATAATATTCAAGATACCCTAGAGACATAAATGTCATTAAAGTTTATTTGAAATTACAAACAGACACTGGTAAACATAATGAAGTTTAAAACTTTTTTTGTAAAAATGTTTGGTTTATTTTTGTGCTTAATCACAATTATACAAATGTTGTTATTTATTTCAATAGATTTTGAGCATGCAGAATCTGATACGGAGGTAAAGTTCAGGATTGAT